CCAGGGTGTCAAACATGGTTATCATTGGAAAATTTGTTTGACATCTGCAAGGTTTCTTTGCAGAATAGATTTTCTCTTCACGAAGGGGAATCTGTGGGAGACGAAAGGCACATATGGGCACTTCCTTCTGCCACTTGGCCTTGTTGGAGCTCAGTGATTTAACGCACGCTTTCCGGATGACAGATTGGAACCTAAGGAACCTATTGCGTTCTGAGCCCGTGCTGCTCAATCTTCGAGATGGCTTGAAGAAAATTGGTGGGCCAGAACAATGCACAGAGCAGGTTCTCCGCTCGGTGCTGGCCCGCATGAACAATTGGACAACCTTGGTGAGGGAGGTTGTTCAAGCTGAAGTTCCCTGGTTCGAGGCCTTGTCATCGTTTTCGACACTGCTCTCACTTGACAATTCATGCCCGCTCCATTCGTTTACTCGAGCGGCGCAGAACATCGGCTCTTTGTTGGCCATCCCTCCGGCCGCTTTCCTGCGTTTCAGTCTACTGGGCAACCTGATGCGTGTGCCTGCTTCTGAGGATGCCCTGTCCAGAGAGATCGATGATGTCAGGCCGCTGGCTGTTGGCATTAAAGAGAGAGAGGGGCTGGCTCCCACAGTGCTGGGCCAAAGCTGCCAGGGACTTGGAAGGGACTTCCTGTGGGGTTTGAGTAAAATAGGCGAGGCCACCTGCGCATGTCATCACTGGAGGTCATTCGGGATTGGAAGGCGCACAAGGAAGTTGACAACGTATGCGCCCTCATGATACGTGCTGTAAGCTGGGGCTTTGGGACCAGTGCAGTGGAACGCTCGATCCTCTGCAGCAGTGTGGGTATTTAAGTGGGCATATGACGGATTATGATTGGTTCTTGAAACCTTCTTCTTTCAAACCAGGTTTCCGAAGTGCTTGACAAAGAAACGGAAATTGACAGTTGCGTTGATGAATGATGAGCTGCGGATCCTTTCCCTGCCAACCAGATTTGACAGTCAGTGCCTCAGCGGCGTGTAGCACTTTCTGGAGGGGTTTAGGGTTTCAGTCGGGGGCCTTTTAATTTAGGGTTTCAGTTGGGATTTAGGAGTTTAGGGTTTAGGTTTCAGTCCGGGTTTAGGTTTCAGGGCTTAGGGTTTCAGTCGGGGTTTTTGGAGATGCAGTGAGTTCCTGAAACTGAGGCTAGTTGAGCTTGCTCAGGATGAATGGGTGCTGGGCTTATTGGCATATCAAGCTGTTTAAAACATGTTTTGCGGGGTTATTCGCAAGGCAAATTCGTATGGTGATTTCCGTCGATCCACGGCAAGGTTGTGCATGAGAAAAAGGAAGAAGAAGCGCTCAACAGGTGAGACGGCATTCCTGACCCGGCGACGGGAGGCAGTGGCCAATGCTGTGGCCAAGGTGGCCAGCTCGAAGGCTGACATGCCAGCTTGGATGCAAGCGCTTTCTTCCAAACTCTGGACCAAGAAGCACAACAAAGAGATTGACTTCAACCGCGAGAAGTTGAGGAGAAAACGCATAGAAGCTTTTCGGCGTGGGGGGTATGTGCCCGAATCGGGCACTGAGAAGTCCTCCCTAGAGCTTGAGCTGAAGGCGGAGGATACGTGTGAGCAAAAAAGACGTAAAGAATGGCAGAAGAAGATCAATGAGAGACACTTAGCATCATGTCAGATAATAAATCATATGAATCCTCATGATGCTCCTTTCCAGTCTATCTAAGGAAACGAAGCTGTGGCTTGTGCCTGGTCGCAGCTTAATTTGGGGAGTTAGCGCTTGGAGCTTCAGTCTGGGTTTGGGCGTTTAGGGTCTATAGGGTTTAATGGGCAATTTTAAGGGCTTAGGGTTGATAAACGCTTTGTGGGCTTGTAGGGTTTCCTTTACGTATTACACAAAGATTTAGGGTTTGGGTTCTGGCATTGGTTTCAGTTAGCAATGTCTGGTTTTTAAACATTTGGCTGGAAGTAACTATCATGACATGTGGGTGATGGGGCCCAACGAATGAGATATTAGGAGTTATTTGACTGCCATTTATTTACTAGGTGAGCCGGATTCCATCTCCTCTCACTGTATTGGCCAGGTGGGTCTGAGCGGGTGCCCTTCGATGCTATGAAGGTCTACGTTGCGAAGGCTATTGATCAACAGCGACTCCAGGATATGATCCGTTCATGTGGAGCCCAGCAAACTTGGTCCCTGCCTGAAGCTCAGGCAACCCATAATTCAACCCATCATTCAGTCGCTGAATGGTTATTTGAGCCTATACGCTCCTGAACCTGAAGGCATTTGGCGAATGTCATGGTGGCAAAGGATCCGGCAAACCCTAGCGTGGCCCTGAAGTTCCAAGCTTTCCTGAAGGGTGGGTCCCATGCTCAGCTTACATATTTGCGCCTTTAAACCATAACCTTTCTCCACCATTGAATGAGAAAGCTAGCACCTACGGCAAGCTTCAGGTCCATAGCTTCGCCGCTGTATTTTGATAGCAAGGGAAACAAAGGTATTTTCATTCGCTATCAGAAGCTTTGCCGCAACTGGTGTTCCTACTATGACAGGCCGTGTAACCCCTGCACATTTGCCTTATCACTGGGGAGGAATGCCACTAACATCGCCCGGACTTGGTGGTCCTCCCAGACGTTCAAGCAGCAGCATCCTCTCCTCGCACGGCTATTGTTGAAGGCTGGAGGCAAGTGGACACATGTTGCCTCAAGACAAAAGTTTCTCGATACTTGTCAGAATACAGACCCGTCACGTAGGAGTTAGCGTCTTCTTCTTGATGGGCATGCAAGCTCAGGAGAAATGCAGATCAAAGACTTTCGTCAAATTCCGCACGCGGGCATGCTGCTTTATCGCTGAAGAAGAACTGTCAGACCCAGCAGCATGATTAAATTTCATAGAGTCCTGGAACCGCCCTGCTGCAATGGCTATCAATGTCTAACTAAGGAGCTTTCTCTGGTGTGTCTGAAATTCAGTGCGAAAGTGGCCTGCAAGAAGCTGGCCAAAATTCGTCCGATTGGAACAATCCGAGGGTTCTGTGCAAAGTAGATTGCCACTGCTCGGTAGTGATCATCGGTACAGTCCGAGGGTTCTGTGCAAAGTAGATTGCCACTGCTCGGTAGTCATCATTGGGGGACGCTGAAAACATGCTGGATTCCAGGACTGGATGGGTTAGGCTCTGGAGGCCCATGTTGCGGAACAGGATTCAGAGATCACAATTTCACCCCTGATTTAAAGGTCAGTGCTCAGCTTGACTATTCAAATTATAAGCCCCCCAAAAAGCTTAGTTAGAACACCATTAAATTAGGTGCCGGGATTGATTGTCACTCTGCTAACCCCCTAAGCCCTAAACCATAAAAACTTAAAACCCTAACCCCGAACCCTTAAACCGCGTGGCTATTCGGTGCTGGAAGTGATCCTTCAATAATGAGAATTACTATTTGGTGCCGCGATGGATTAACTGTCATAAGCCAATGATAGTAAATAGCAGTGGGTGCCAGGATTGACTGTTCTAAGCCAATAGCAAATACCATTCGGTGCTGGGATCAAAGGCCAACACGTGCCAATAATAGTTGATAATTATTCATATATCTAATACTAATGATGAGTACCATTTGGTGCTGTGATTTGTTGTAGTGTTCGACGCCAATAATGAATGTCCTTCGGTGGCAGGATGGAAGCCCAATAAAAATTGATAAATACCATTCGGTGCTGGGATTGATTGTTCTAAGCCCCCAATAAACCATTCGGTGCCGGGATTGACTGTCCTAAGCCCAATAATAAATGTCATTCGGTGCTGGCATTAAGCCCCCAATAGACCTTTGGTGTCAGGAATGAGTGTTCTAAGCCCAATAACAATAAATGCCATTCGGTGCCGGGATTGACTGTTCTAAGCCCCCAATAAACCATTCGGTGTCAGGATTGACTGTTCTAAGCCCAATAATAAATGCGATTCGGTGCCGGGATTGACTGTTCTAAGCCTCCGACAAACCATTCGGTGCCGGGATTGACTGTCCTAAGCCCAATAACAGATGCCATTCGGTGCCGGGATTGAGTGTTCTAAGCCCCCAATAAACCATTCGGTGTCGGGATTGACTGTTCTAAGCCCCCCAAATATTATAAATATTTATAAACAAGGGGGGCTTAGAACAGTCACACCCGGGATCGACTGTTCTAAGCCCCCCAATAAACCATTCGGTGCCGGGATTGACTGTCCTAAGCCCAATAATAAATACCATTCGGTGCCGGGATTGACTGTTCTAAGCCCCCAATAAACCATTCGGTGCCGGGATTGACTGTTCTAAGCCCCCCAATTACTATAAATATTTATAAACAAAGGGGGGCTTAGAACAGTCACACCCGGGATTGACTGTTCTAAGCCCCCCAAATATTATAAATATTTATAAGCAAAGGGGGGCTTAGAACAGTCACACCCGGGATTGACTGTTCTAAGCCCCCCGAATATTATATATGTTTATAAAGAAAGGGGGGCTTAGAACAGTCACACCCGGGATTGACTGTTCTAACCCCCCCCATTATTATATGTATACATATATGAAATTAGGATGCGTTCAATGATATTGCTGTCCTAAGAGGAGGGCGTAAAGCGCCCCTCTCTTAGAACAGTCAGACCCGGGATTGACTGTTCTAAGCCCCCCCCCGAATATCTTTAACGGCATCCTGGGACCTGAAAAAACATAATATAACCTAGGGGGGGGGCATATCCAGGGGGGGGCTTAGGACAGTCAATCCCGGGATTGACTGTTCTAAGGGAGGGGCGCTTCACGCCCCCCCCTTAGGACAGCCATATCCTTAAAGGCACCTTGGAAACATAAAATTATGTGAGCATAATATGACATGTTTGTCACACCCGATTCATATAATTCCCCTCAAATCAGGCTGACGTTGATTCTCATCATGGGGAACCTGCGTTGAGAAGGCATGCGCAGTACTCTTGTAATGTGGACCTTGATTCTCAGTGGGGACACTGCAATGAGAAAGCATGTGAAGTTATATAAGATAGCTTAATCTGCAGCGATGGGAAGAAGGGCCAAGGCTCACATAGGGCCAAAAGGCACAGCGGCAAAGAACCCAGCGGCAAAGGCTGCAGCGCAGTCTGGGGCAACCGCAGACGCGGCTGCTGAAGGTTCCGTTGTGGGGGCGGGGCCCCAGCTACCAAGTGGATCCTCTTGGAACGCTGATTTGTTGACGAGTTTCAGGGTGGCCTTGGAGGAGCTCCAGGAGGTTTGGCCAGGAATCAAAGACGAGGAACCCGTGAGCATAGCCGATGGAGGAGCACAGGCAGGAGAGAGATGCATTAGGCATTTGTCGCTGCCTAGACCCCTGGGAGGATCTAAAAATTAGATCCCCTGTATGGACCCATTTTAACCCCCGTATAATCCTTATATAATTCCCCTATGGTTCTAGGGGATCTAATTTTTAAATCCTTTTGGGGGTCTGGGTGGCAATACCATGAATCAAGCACCTGTGGAGTAGGATGGCTACTGCTTAGTGTCAAAGTGATTTCCCTCACCATGCTAGGCGGTGTTTGACATCAAGCAGGCCAAGCAAGCCTTGGGAAAAGGGATCAACGAGGAATACCGCTGCGCGCAGAATTTCTTCAGGAGTGACCTTTTGTTCAACCCGGACCCAAACGTGGCTCATATGCATGTTAATCTTTTTGGGCGCCCTCGCCTACATGACTTTTGCTCCGAAGCCTCCATTAGATGCAGTATTAGTAAGACCTCAGGTGCCCATTCGGTCCCATGCTGTGGACAAGATCTCGGAGTACTACTATGCCAACTCCAGCGATGCTGGCCGAGCCCTTCGAATGCGTTGTGCCAAAGAACTGGTTGGATGATCCCCGCCGCTTGAACCATGACAAAGTGAAACCAGTTATCCCCACGGAGCACCTGATAGCCTTCGTGATGCCACTGAATTGCAATAAAGCGTTATGTTGATTGTATTGCTTAACTTGAGCTCTGGTTCTTACAAACCCAGGTCAATGCACCGTGACAAAGATGATCCTGAGCGCATGAAAGCATGGCGCTTCGCAACCTTGCAGGTGAGCTTCGTGTACCGAGTCGGCGTCATTGAAGACGCGTACTGGCTTGCCCAGAATAGCCGGCAGTCGAAGAAGCAAGCAGGATTGTCGATGGTATTCACCTGTTTGCAGAAGGTGTACTCGGTATTACATTTCAAGGCCAAGTACGAAAAAGTTCATGGCGAAGTTGGCGCCATAGCAGCAGTTCTTAGGTTAAGGTTTAGCATTCAGGATTTAGGGATTCAGGCTTTGAAGCATTCACTATGTTTCGTACCCAGCCCAGGTGTGGAGAAGTTCTGCAAGATTTATGAAGAGAAGCTGCGACATGCAGATGAGAATGAGAAGGCCAGGACTCACAAGCCACCTTAAACTTTGTAAATGAAGCTCAACTGCAATCTGGCGAAGCGCCATGCTTGCCTGCGCTTTTCATTCTCTTTGTCATGAGGCATTGGCGTGATCTCTAAATAAAGCTTGACCCACAATATTCAAAGCCTTCCATCCATAGACCCCAAAAGCCTCATGCTTGCACAGGTCAGCGATGCGTTCGTTGATACGGCAGTTACGATGGGAAAGCGCGCAACTTGACCTATAATTTATTCTTACATCCCTTTCCTCTTCAATTCCCTAGCCCAGGCCCGAAATCCCAAAACCTGAGTTAGAAGGTTGCTGATGGGGCGGCAGCAATTCAATGCAGATAGGCAGCTGACGTATCCCCAATACTCCCTAATTCATCATACTCAGTCTCCTGAGTACTCCCAAGCAAGTGGTGCTGCTCTGGCTTTGTCTTTGAGGGGGTAGTGGTTTAAAAAGGGTTTAGGGCTTCAATCGGGGTTTAGGGGTTTAGGGAGTAGGGTTTCAGTCAGGGTTAAAATAGGGTTCGGGGTTTAGGCTTTCGGTCGGGGTTTAGGGTTCAGTCAGGGTTGAACCAGGGTTTAAAGTCAAGCCGTTGTGGCCCCATGGCCAATGGCCGAAAGCCAGAATCCATAACCACACCCTAATACCCCAATGGCAAGCCCTGCGCAAACTTTGCTTGTGCCTAGGTCCTCAAGGATCCGGAGTGGCGCAGCTTCTCCTGGAAGCGGATGAGCACTCTGGTGGATCCCCCTTTGACAACTATACGAAGTGTCAGATGTTCATCCAGAAGGGGCGTTCCGATGAAGGAATCCGCTGGGTTTTCAATGCTGTGCGCCTTCGCTACATTTTACTTTAGCATGACTGTCTTTTAGAGGATATCTTGTCTTGTGTAATGGATGAGTGCTGGATTGGTAACTGAGGTGGGATGGCTACAGCAACGGCGTGTTGAAGCCGGAGTTTCTTGCGAACAGGGCTTTGAGGGGCGAAATATGGCCAGGTGGGACAGTCATGATGTTGGTCAACCAAATGGAGTTCCGCAAAGTCCTCCTGAGCGATGCTTTCAAGTATCCCAGCTGAAGATCCATTGCCTGATCCCCCTCAAACCCGGACTACCTTAACTTAACCTGCTCTGAATCAAGGACTTATGATTGGCCAAAGGAGGTCAAGGACAAACTCCAGGAGGTTCTCAGTTCTCATCAGTCCTACCGGAAGCAACCTGGATGATGAATATATTTGTTCGGAAGAATGATAACCCTCAACCCTGAACCCCTGTGCATCGCTTAGGCACTGCGGACACCGGGGCGAGACGATCCCAGATTTGACTTGGAAAGGAGTTCAACTGCAGGCCTGTGTCTACTCAGACTCCTACCTTGCAGTGTACAAGACGTTGATGAAGAACCGGAAGCAGGCTTCTGCACCAGTAAAAACCAAACGAAATCACACTATCAACCCCATATGCAGGTTGTGGATTGGAGTGACCACGGTGACCTGGCGAAGCCAATGTCTGCTGTGCAAGAGCTGGGCCCCAAGCCATGTCGCATCTCTCTCATGAAAGTCGTAATGATAGCACTGATCACCTGCGAGGATATATGAGGAGGAGAAGAAGAAAAATGAGGAGAAGGCTGACAAGGCCAGTTTGCGGTTCCAGTTGGGGTTCAATGGGGGTTTAGGGTTTAAGGTTCAGTCGGGATGGGGATGGAAAGGTTGGGGAAGGGTTTGACCTTTGTGTTTTGTGTGTTGCATTGCTCCGGGCTTCGTATGACTGAAGGGGAGTAATGGTTAAAGATTTACGGTTTAGGGTGTCAGTCGGGGTTTAAGGATTTATGGTGTCAGTCAGGGTCTAAGGGTTTAGGGTTGCAGTTGAGTCTGATTTCAGTCGAAGTTTAAAGCATTCTAGGGTTTCAGTCGAAATTGAGGGGTTTAGGATTGGGGGTTTCAGTCAGGGCTTTAGGGTTTAGGGTTTCAGTTGGGGTTTAGGCAATTAAGGAGCTGAGTCTAGGACACAGTGCTTCAGTCAGAGATGAAGGGCTTAGGGTTGATGCTTTCAATCGGGGTTTAAGTTCAGGCTTTAGGGTTTCCCTCGGGTTTTAGGGATTTAGGGTTCAGGACTCACTCAGGGTTCAATCGTGATCTAGTGGTTTAGGGTTTGAGGTCTCAATGGGGGCTTCAAATGATGAGGATGTAGCGCTTCAGCTTGGGCTTTACAATTAGGCTTTAAGGTTTCAATCCTTTTGGGTGATTTTGGGTTAATTTGAAGGTAGTCTCTAGTAGTCTCGCTCCAGGTCAAGGTTGTGGACCCTGACAACGCGGAGACGCAGGTTGTTCAAGCAGAAGCCAATGAGGAGCATGGGCACTTGAAGGCGAAGAATGCTTTGTTTCTTGAACTATCTACTGATGATCATGGCCATATGACTCATGAAAACAGCGCGTGTTTATCATCAGCAGCTCCCAGTGCTCGAGACCAACTATTGCAACCGCCCTTGCATCCCTGACGTTATGAAGCCCCAGTCCAGATTCATTCCTGAGTTCCGCCATCGACATTTGCGCGTGGTGGGCAGTGATGAGATCAAGGCACATTTTTCAGCACATAGAATCTATATGTGTATTATCCCCACTTCTCAAGTATAATGTGGTCACAATTTTCAATCCAGCTATGCCCCAGGATGAGGTCAATGACGAGGTCTTAAAAATCGGGTTGGGGTTTTAGGATTTAGGGTGCCCTGGACTTCCAAATCCAAACTACATCACAAATCCTGAATTTGAACTCTTGAAGTTTCAGGTAATGGTAGGTTTTTTTTATCGTAGTTATGATGGGGCCTTATCTGGGTTACAAAGCCCAACCCATAAATCAAGGGCCCCAACTCTAAACTGCAAAGCCGAGTGGAAAGTGCGGGGGTTTGGGTTTAGGTGTGGGGTTTTGGGGTGTAGAGTTCAGGATTCAGGGTTTGGGGCCACGGGTTGAAGATCTAGGCGAAAGGTGCAATATATGGGACTTAGAGCGCAGGGCTTACAGCTCATATGACACTCAGGACGTATTGTTCAGCCTTGAAGGTTTACCGTGTGGAATTTAGGCTTTCTAGGGGTAGGGGTAGGTTACCCTAAGCCCCTAAATCTCCGGCTGAAACTCCAAGCCTTCTTTGCTATGTTTCAGGCTTTTGGGTTATTATTTTACCAACTTTTGGGGGTCCAGGTGAACCCTGACTAAAACCCTAGACCCTGAATCCCGACTGAAACCCTAAACCCTAAATTAAACCCATCCCTAACTCCCCTGAAACCCCAACCTCGAATCATCCTGATGCCTCAACAAGACCAGATCAGAAATCTTCGTCAAGCTCCGAGAACCCTGACTGGCTGGAGATTGGGCCTGAGCCTGCAATGTTGAACCCGAGCCAGGGCGCGAAAGCCTCCAAAGGAGGCAAGGCTAAGGGCAAGGATGGAAAGGGCAAGGGCGTTGCCAAAAACGCTGGCACATGCGTGATCAAGAATGGCAAGGTCAAGAAGTGATACGTCTGCGTAAGCCTTCGGACCTTTGGATGGGTTTCTCAAGTTTTGTGGATATGCAGCTACCGTTATCTGTCAGCCGGATGGGTCTCTCAAGTTTTGTGGATATGCAGCTACCGTTATCAGCCGCAGAGGGGAAAATGAGAAGCGTCATGGCAATGTTGCATGTGAGCCTATGAGTCCCAGCGCAGTTTAGGATTAGGGTGGGTGTCAGGGGTTAGAGCACTATCATGGTCCCTGCGGCGGCAGGTAAAGCGTGCTAACACGAGTGAGAGTATGCCACCGACTTTGGACGACGACTCCACCCGAAGATTGCTGGCGTTTAAGGAGAAAGCCATACGCAAAGTGCGCTCCCATGTACTCCTTATCGCCGAAGACGCCAGATCTGAGGGCATGAAGAAGTTGCTGCAGTCCACTAGTGTCAGTGACTGGGTTGGAGAGACGATCACGAGTCACAATGAGTGACTTGGTATCTATAACCCATGTGTTTGCCTGTTTGTTCGTGATGCTGGGGATGTAGACGTTCTGTTGACTGCTAGGGTGGAAAGGCTTGGGGTTGTGAGTTTGTCTGAGGACCCTCATCACGAAATCAGTCGTGACCTTCTTTGATGCTTGCCTGCACCTTCAACTGAAAGACACTGAGTTCCCCCAAATGCTGCCTTCCAAAAAGCATGTTTTAGGGTTTAGGATTCAGGGTTTAGGGTTTAGGATTTAGGGTCAAGGAGTCAGGGTTTAGGATGTATAGGGTTTAAGATTTAGGGTTTAGGATTTAGGGTTTATCACCCGAGACACCTGCAAACCTTGAATGCCATACCCCAGGTTCAACACGTAAAATGACAGGCCCGGAAAACCGTGAAGCCAGACGGATGACCTGTGTCATGTCCCTAAAGCCCACTCACCCTGACTAGTAATTCTCCTTCAATTCCCAAATAAGCCCTTACCAAGGATTCGAAAGTCGCAGGAGAAGCCCAGACTTCCCCAAAGGTCCGACTCCCACCCCTCAAAGATGGCAGATTACCACGCCTCATGGGAGCTGCGCTTGAGCTCCGGCTCAAGGGGGGCCTGATGCCAGACTCTGACATCATCATGCTCTTGGATGGTGGAAGAGAGGGTTGGAGGGCTTTGAATTCAATAGAATCTTATCGTCAAATGGCTTGGGCTTGGGCGCGGTTTAGGGTCAAGGGTTTAGGGCATTCAGTAGCTAGGGAAAAGCCCCAGTCTCCGCATGCCCTAAATACATCCCACCTGTGGAACCCTGGGCCCCCCAAAATCCTGGACAGGCATCCAGGCCAACTTGCTCGCGAGCCTTAAGATCGATGGTGAGTCATTCAACAAGACCCGTGGATCCCTGCTCCTGCACCACGATGAAAAATCCATCAGAAAACGCCGAAAGCGTGACAAGGGGCAACAAGTGCTCAATGCAGAGCGCATGCTGGTGATAACCTCCCCAGAGGGACCCGTAGTGCCGTGCCTTGGACTTTTTTATAAACCCTGCAAACCCTACATACCCTGATACCCTCAGAATCTCAAACCTTAAACGGGTTCTCTTCCTGCGAAATTATTAGACATTTGCCACTTGAATACTGACAATGGTGGCTGAGGTATCAGGACAGAAAAAGATTTGAAGGTACGACCCGCGGAGAAATACTCGGTCCGATTGTTGCGCAACCATACGAGGCGCATTCACTACTCAGTGTGTAGGTGAAATAATCTAGTCTCTACTCTGGGGAGGCAAGGCCTACTTAGCAACATGAAGGATCTGATGCCCCCAAGGACACAGAGATCTCGCTCCAGAAGAGAAGGGTTTAAAGTCTAGGGTGGGTTGAGGGCCTGAGATTTAGGGTTTTAAGGTTCAGATTAAAACTAAACCAAACACACCCCAAATTTCATCTGCAACCCCCAACCTATTCCAAATCCCCATTTAACCCTAGACAACCGCTGTTGTCTCTGGGCTCACAATAATGGAACGACGAAACCTCAGAAATTTCAGTCCCGAAGCCCTCTCCGAAACTGCAACACTCTGGCCTGGCTGCCAGGATGAGACGGAGACGTGGTTGGCCTCAGTGAAGGATAAGAAATCCGCATACGGCAACATGCGGATTGCCATTGGTGGCAAAACGGATGACAAGGATGAGGGCGAAGGAGAGGCAACATCATGGATTTCAGGGATCTTGGTTTTGGGCTTAAAGTTCAGGGGTTTAGGGTCTAGGGGTTAGGGAAGTTTGATAATTTAGGGTTTAGGGCTTCATGATTGTCGTGAACAGGTTCTTCTGTTTTAGCAGTGGTCACCACCGTCATCATCACCATCCTTTGCCATTATGACCTCAATGATCCTCCTCATCATCACCATCATCCAGGATGATGGGAATGAGTGAAGATGATGATGCCAATGATGATGGGTGATGGTTGGTGATGCTGATGATGATTGGTGATGGTTAGTGAGTGATGATGATGATGGTGGTGCTGGTGCTCATGATGAGGATGATGATGGTGATGATGATGATGCTGGTGAAGATGATGCTTTGTTGTGATGAATATGATGATGGTGATGTTTGTCGGTAGGTTCTGGCACTCCAAATTACTGAATGCCTATCCAAAGTCTTGCTTATCTAGTACTCTAAGCCCTTTAAACCCTAAACCCTCAACCCTAAACCTCCGAGTTAAACCCTGGGGTGTGGCAGGACGACGCAATGATGCAGATATGGAGCCATTCACGTTTCATTCATTGCCGATGGCCGCTGTGTCTTGCCTGCTAAACCCTTAACCTTAAACACTCCCTACTCTAACTCCGCGGATGCGAAGTCAACTGAGGTTGAGGAAATTTTCTACGATTTCAACATAGGCCACATGCTGGACCTCAGCGTTGGTCCATTGGCTACGGTGGATTTTGAATATAGGGCGTAGGGGGGTCCTGAAAACTCTTTTTCGTGTATGTTTAAATCCTGAGCCTACCAATCCGCCACAAAAGGGTTCCCGTGATGAGTATATGGATATGGCAGCTTAGGGCATCACAACTGTAGCAAAACCTGGCTTTTCATAAAAGGCGATACCCTGACCCTAATTCCTGAAATCTGAACCTGGCCTGAACCCTACCCCTGACCTTGCTTCTGTTAATCCACCCTGTGTTTAACTCAGGCGATGGGAAGACCTGCATGGGTGCAATCCTATCAAATGCCACCATGGTGGGCATTTGCTTCACAGATTCTCATGTTGAGATGCTCTACAAACGGCTAGAACAGTGTGTCTTTCAGCAGTATCAGGATGCGGACTCGCCGTTGCATGAGCCGGCGCTAATGGGGCTTCTTGGGAAAGGTAAGAAGCCGAAGGCTAAAGCAAAATCTACCGCCAGGAAGAGGAAGACGCCCAAAGGCGATGATGGTGAGCAAGCGGGGGAGGAGGAGCCTGAAGAGGACGCAGGGGAGGAAATGGAAGAAGAGGGGATCGAACAGGAGGAAGAGGATGAAGAGGAGCCGGAAGAGGATGAAGAGGAAGATGACGAGGAAGAGGATGATGAGGCCAGTTTCGTTAGACTATTCTCCATAGCTATTATGCCTGAAGTCCCAAACCGCCTTTAACCCGGTCTTGACTTTTGCTTTAAACCTGAAACCGCATCATATGCAGGAGGGAAAGAAACCCACAAAGCAGGGCCGCGGCAAAGGTCGCGGAAAAGGCGGCAAAGGAGGCAAAGGACGTGGACGCGGCAAAGGAAAGTCTGCCAAGGCAGTGCAGTGCAGAAATCCCTACACCCTATTTTTTTCATCCTAATCCCTAAAACGAGTGAAATGTCATGGTTCCATAGGGTCATGGGATGGAGTTTATGTTGCAATGATCTAAGGTTTAGGGACTAGGGCTTAGGGTTTAGGGTTTTGGGGTCTAGGCATCCATTCATCAGGGAAGTGGCAAAACGAAAGGATCTATCCTGAAGAAGTTGAAGAATCTGAAGTAGGTTGCGCTGCTAGGCTGCAGATCCCGGCATTTTGGATTCAAGACAGCCCAAGTCGGGCATGGAGAATCAAGCCTTGAATTTTGCGGTAGGGAATGCCTGGGGCCCTTTGACGAGCAATTCTCAATACTGATGTTCTTCAATTATCTACGCGGGGTTCCTGGTAGACCTTACCATCACTTCGGGGAGTTGCCCCTTCAAGAAAGGTTTTTCAATGTTTTTCACAATCTAGCATAGTCTTATCCAATCTCAGCCTAATATCAAGTAGCATTTGGGCCCTTGGGGGTGTTTCTTTTTTGGGAGGCTCCTCTGTCGTGCTTTTTAAGATAGTGCCAAGTCTTCAAGGTGGTACGCACCTCGGCCATGCCTGTGCTCAGATGGGACAACGACTAGTGCCAAGCCATTCGGGCTTTACTTTTGAGCATTGCATGTGCTTGTTGTTGTTTGCCCATCTGCGAAATCTCCGAATGGACTTCTAATTCCGCATCAATCAGGATGCGCCTAGCCCAGGGAAATCCCTGACTGATTCATACCCAATGGAACCCTGCCAAAGAGATTTGCTAATCATCGTCCTCATCATCATCTACGAATAACCTTATGCCGTGAGAATCCTGGGCATCGATTTGAAATTTGAGAAGGTATCTTTGGCGGGGGTTGCCCATCACCTGCCTCTCTGTGTAGATGAGAAAGCAGCGGCTTCTACACCCTAAATCCTTTGAACCGACAACCCTACATCCCCTTAATTATCGCCCAAACCCTAACAAAGATATTGTGCACAGCTTTCTGCGCACGAATTCTGCCGCGCAAAGACCTTGATGAATGAAAATTGCTTATTGGCTTACAACCCGGAGATGGCCCAGCCTTGTATTTCCAACAATATGCACAAACATCCTACTATGCTAGTCCTTGTTTGGGTTCAGGCTTTGGGGTTAATGTGGCAAGATCCGTAACCCTAAACACAAGTTCGGTTGAAGGTTTCAATTCCAGATATAAGGTTTATGGGGTTTAGGGTCTAGGTTTGGGGGATTAGGGTTTAGGGTTTAGATGCTACCCATTGCGCATATATTGCGTCAATGAAACGAAAGCTACGCCTGGCGTCAGAATGTGCTGGCCTTGAGCCCCTATCAGCAGCCTGTCAGCTCCTTGACCAACTTGGAAGACAGATTTCAGTCAGTTTTGGGTATTAGTCTAAGTCTAGGGCCTAGGGTTATAGAATCAAGTTGACAGACCAACTCAACCCACAACCCTACAGCCATCTTAAAGCCTTGCAAAACCCTGATCCCCTACAAGTTTTGATGTTTGTGGGCAACCGTAGCAGGCTTGCAAAGATTCCGCACAAGCTCCTCTATGCGTCTGAATCAGATGCCCGACTACGAGAACGAGTCAAAACTATGTGTGATCCTTCATGCTTGAGCGAAAATGCAACATTCAATGTGGGTGCCTGGCCTGCAAATGCAGCAAGAGCACCAGCATGGCGCATGGCATGTCCAAAGTTCGAGTTTGATCCAAGCTAAGTTTGGAATAATGCGCGCATGGACCTCTATGGCGCTGGAGCGCCGTGTCAACCTTCCTCTGGAATGGGGCTTCTTCGTGGAAAGCATGACGACCGTGCTTCTATATTGGACAAGGAATCTTGTCGTTAAATGACCAAGACCCAAGCTTAAACATGTACAATCCACAAGCACTAGTTGCCCTAGTTTCCTTCGTGAATCATAGAAGCTGATGCCCATGTGAGGTTGCATCCAGGATTAGCCGGATGAAGCCTCGCAGCTTTATAGTTGAGAATGTGCCTGCTTTATGCTCAAAGCGGCATGCTGGTTATTTCCGGACACTTCTGAAGAGGACAAGTTGTTTTGCCACTGGGCTTTTGGCACATGAGCTGCATGCCCTTATGCTGAAAGCTTTGCCGGCAGGATGAACAAGTCTGGCATCTACCGCATCCGTTGGAAGGCAACAAACCCTAAACCCTAAGGTCTAGACCCTAAACCCTAAGCTCTTCAGAGGTTAAGTTTTCTTCTTGAGTAATTCTGAGGATCATGATTTCGGGTGATTGTAGGGTGCAAGGTTTAAGTTTTCTGTAGGCTGCAGGTGTATTTTTTGTGTAGTTATTCAATTCAAGCAAGGTGATTGACAGCCGGGATTTTGGGTTACCACAGCGGAGAAAACGTCTATGGGTCGTTGGCTGGGACAAGTCACTGAAAGGCACGGTGCACGAAACAACCGCAGAATCCTAGCTTCAGTATGTGTTCTAGGGTCTAAGTCTCAGGGTCTAGGGTTTAGGGCTTATAGTTTAGGGTTTAGGGTTAAAGAATCCACAACCAGCAACTTACTTATTCCCTACATGGGAACTTGGATATGTTGCAACCGTGTAAACGCCTACAGGTAAGTTCAAATTCCCACGTGGCAAATTCCGGAAGCGGCGTGTGCCGCTCTCTGCAATCCTGTTGAAGCCAAGCCCTGAGCTTCTAATTGTCAGTGCTTCTTCGAATTTAATTATCCATAATGATTCATGAGCTGAGATTCAGGAAATCCTGTGCTGATGATCCAGAGTTCCCTTCTTCAAAGACGGGTAGGCGGAACATTGAAAGGGGATTGACATATCTGGCGAACGAAGGATATGTGGCTGAGGATGAGACATGGTCACTTGGCTTCCTTTTTTACAACACCCTATGTCCATAAGTTGTCACGTCCACCCCGTTTGGGTCCAGCTCTGAAACTTGGTGCCCAAAGAAGTCACCTCAAACCATTGAAAGAAAAGCCTAAGCCCTAAACCACGAAAACTGAAAGCTTCAGCCCTTATTCCTCACTGATGCTTCAAGCCCTATAGTCTAAGACTATAGACCCTTCATATTTCTTGCCCATGATGAATTTCCAACCCCATAGACCCCATTCCTGATCCATAATCATCCGATTTACCATGATCTTGCTCCGCTCAGGGTGATTGATACGGCGGCAAGCAAGAAGTTCTGCTCCAATCCTACATATGACCAGTCGCTCGGCCTCATATATTAAATTCAGAGAGCATTTCTTGCGCATCACCTGGGGGCTTGGAATGACTGCCTGGAGGTTCCCGTGCATCACACGTTCGCGGGGGCAGGGGCATGCATTCTGGATCACTTCCAAAGCCAGGTTTGTGAGAACCAAGGAGCCTCAATTATTGTTTGTTTTTCATGTGACTGTTTTTCAATGTCAAGGCTACGTACGTGCTAAATTGGTACGTTTTGATCAACTTCGGAATTCCTGCCCATGCCAGGAGTTGGCAAGGGCGCAGGGCTGGCCATGGGAGCTGCTGGCGGGGCATGGCTTGTCAGACCATCAGAGAGGGGCAGCGCTGGGGAATGCGTGGCCACTTCCGGTGGCAGTGGCATTGGTCAAGGCGTGCTTTGTTTCGAAAAGGGTTTAAGGTTTATCGTGGGTTCGGGATTTCACAAGGTTAAGGGTTCGATTTAAAGATGTATCATTTAGGTTTAAATGACAGTTCATGGTCAATGTCAGGTTCCCCAATGGCTTGAAACCCTTGTGGTCATTTGTCGCAGGCCTCATTCCTAAAATTGCTTGCCCAGATTCAATTTCCCACCCTAAAATCTCAATTACCTGTTTAATGACCCATCGCCCTAAGAACTCTAAGCCCAAAACCTTTCAGGCTCTCGAGAAGATTCTGCAATGACTCAATGACGCAGTGGGCGCAAAAGGAATGAGCAATGGTGTTCACCACAAACTGATGTAGATGTATGTAGTTGAATCTTTCGTCATAGGTGCCCCAAAACAGGGTTTGATTCGAATGGTTCTACATTGTTCTTCATTATGTGAAGGTATAGATGTAAGTTTTATCGGCCCCAAGTATGCTTCGACACCCATTGTACCGGAATATAGAAGTGAGAGGTGAACAATGACATGGCGGGACTCACCACATTATCATTGCTGGCCATTTATTCGTGTGAATATCAAGGGATCCTCATTATTACTAAGCTGGTATTCGTAAAATTCGAAGGAACAAATTCCAGAATTGAGCCCCAATGACCCCAGATTCATAATCAATGTTGAGAATGATCCTGGAGTTCAAATGGTCCATGGCAACTTAATTTCATTAAGGTGCCAAATAAAATCTATGAGAGCCAGTATTCAGATGAATGAGTTTCATGTTCATCAGATGCAAACACATGAGGATTATACGTAATTACTCAGAGTTCATGATCTTTCCGTTTTCAGAGGCGAACACACGAGGATTAGGTCTTCTCTCTTGAGATGCAAACACATGAGGATGAAATAAATATCCTTAACAGCGGCCCAGTCTATGCATGTGCGTATGAATGTATGTATGCATCATCAAAATTTTCAAAACACTCCGCACAGGAGCGCGATTTTCGTAAATAAAAATCAAGACTCTCCGCACAGGAGCGCGATGTTGTTCAAATTTTCAGGACGCTCCGCAAGACGCTCGGCACGGGAGCGCGATTTTTCTCAAAATTTTCATCATAAGAGAACGATCTGGAGCGGATCAATTAATCTAGAATTGATATACAAATATTTCTTTGGAAAATCCAAATTTTATTCATGAATCCGGCAAATCTTTTATCAGGCCTATATTATAATATATTTTCAAAAAAAATCGTCTTTGATAAGATGAATAGA